ACCCCTAGCAGGGGGGTTGGAACCAGATGAGCATTGTGGGCCTTTTCAACCCAGACATTCTGTGAGTGTGGAGAACCCCGGTGTTATATAAGGTAAACTTCTGAAGAACATGACTCAATTTTGGGGCCAAATGTGGACAGTGGATTAGCTGCACTGTGCCCTCACAGCATATTATTAGACCCTTTTTATTTGTCTGTATGAGCATTCATCCCTCAGTAAAAAGCAGCTCTGTCAGAAAGCATGGCCACTGCTGTTTGCTCACTCTTTTGACTGTGGAAGAGACAGAAATGGAACTGCTTTCTTCCTTTCTTTTTCCATGTCTATTTATGGCTTCCTTGTCTTGGACTTCTCATCGGCCAGCATTTGCGTGTTTCACGTGTGCTGGTTTTGCAACTGTTTTTGGATGCATGTGGTCCCCAGGTGGTTATTTTTAGGCAAGGCAACTCCTGTCACATCGGCTGGCAGTCGGTTTTTTCCACCCATTGACAAAAAATGGATAGAAAGCTGTTTCTTTTAAAGACAGAGTCCAACTGGGCTGTGTCTCTTGGTGCTTCCAAGACCTTTCCCAGTCAGCAGCTTGCCCAGAAGCTCCTGCTGGGATTTTCACAAGGATGTGCTCAGTGTGAGTTCTTCGCTCTGGGATTTTCCTGCTCTTGTCCTGATGTTTTACATTTTGTGGGTCTATGTCTTGGACACTGACCTTTAGTTTGGCTAGTATTCAACAAATGGTCATTTATCTGCTCCCTTGTTAAATTTGCATGAAAGGATTGCTTTCACGAGGGCCATAAATATTGTGTCCCTTTAACCCTATGCTCACCTCGTATTGATATTGTAACTTGCAGAAATTAGTGAGTTTTCAAAGGGTTTGCATGCCTTAGAATGTTACTCAGCTTCTTTTTTTTTTTTTCCATCATGAAGTTAAAGGAGGTTAAAAGCAAGCTTATAATGAAAATTACCATATGTCACAGCTTTAATTGCATGGAGTCATTTCTGTGGCTGCATAATAAGAGCTTATAGAAAACCCTCTGCAGAGAGTATGGTGATGTTCTGGAGCCTCATCTGTCCTAAACACAGCCCCCTCCCATCCTAACCCTCAAAACAATTACAGGGATGTCAGTTGGAAATAGGTTGGCTTTTTCCTTATTTTTAGGTTCCTGTGACTTTTTCAGTGTTATAATGCTAAATAAGCCACAGGACAGCAAGGTAACAATGAGGGGAGGGCCTGACTCCTGTTAGGGTGCTGATGTAGGCATTACATCCCTACAATGGTATGTCATGTAGCAGCCTGAAGATAAAATGCATTGAAAGATGCACATATTTGAATGTAGTCTTACACCTAAGCTATGCAAGCATTGCCATGCTGCTACAACATCTGTGTATTGATTAAGTATCAGACAACAAAGTAAATGCCCAACCCCCAAAATTCCTCTTCTCCCCCCTCTCCTCCCAACCCATTCTGTAGAATCAGCTTCAAACCACATTGGTGAAGATTGCTCGCTTTGCCCACATCTCTGATGTCACTGTTCCCATAGTAATGAGTGTACTTCAGAGAGGGGAAAGAGAACAGACTATTTAAAGAATAAAAATTGGAGGAAAATAAAATGATGCTTTGGTGTTGGAAACTTTAAAGAAACTTTGCAACTTTTAAATATTTCATTTTAAATCCATTTCAGTCAGGTACGATTGCCCTGAGGCTGTCAATATTTCACCCTGGCTTTTGTGAGCAGAAGAAGCTGTCCTTTCACACCATGGACATACACCAGGGGAGCCTTTATGTGACCCATCATTTGAGGCATTTTGGCTACAGTGCCCCACTTGGCACACTTTTAATACTGACTTTTCCAGCAGTGCTAACCACAGCTTGTTGCCCTTGATTTCAGTGTGTGTTGTGGGTGGGAATTCCCCAGGTCAACCATCACTGAAACATTACCAATCCCTGGTGACTTCTGTAGAACGCTGGCTTTACAGCACTGTGCTTTCTTGCTTAAATTCATGAGAAATAAGCGAGTGGTGCAATGGTTATTTGATAAAGTGAATGTAAAAGCAAAACAATCAATTTTCCCCCCTCTTCCCTCCAGTATAATCTGTTTTGCTTACTTTAGGCTGTGCTGAATATACCTTCCAAGGAATCCTGCTAGCAAGCTGCAATGCTGCTGTCACTCTGTGTGGTCAGCAAAGATCCTATCAAAGGAACACAAGCACCAAAGGTTTATATTTAGGCAGGGATGAAATCAGGAGTATGGCCTCTGTCTGCTGAGAGGCTGCCTTTTTTTATTCTGATTTCAATACCTCTGTGTGTATTGGATTAGAGCACCTCCTCATCAGCTGACTACTTAAATCACATTTGAGAGAGATCAGGTTTTGCTTCAGCAGGTGCATGCACACATGTTCAGACTGTTGGAATTCTTGTATTGCTGCAAATCCTGATGCTTTATAAAGTTTTGCTATTCTTAGCATCCACTGTCCTAACTGTTGGTGTCTCTCTTTTCCTCCCCCTACTGCATGCTGATGACTGCAGGGAAGGATGGGTAAGTTTCTTTGAACAGTATTTCACATTCTAGTTGCTGCTGCACATTGCCTCTTTGAAAGCTCCTCAGAAAAGGAGGAAAATCCACAGCATTCACAGAGCATGAACTTAAAAAAGTGAGTAAGCTGCTGTGGCTTGACAAATTGCTACTATCAGTTGAGCAGTAAGGACTGACCATGTGAAAGTAGTTTGAGATCATATTTTGCCTAACTGTTGGAGAGAAAGAGATGGTCAGCTGATGCTCTGTAGCTCTGTAGTTTCAGGAACTCAATGAGTTCAACCACATGCCTGTATTTTAAGTGCAGAAGGATGAAAGGTTTCACATTTGATCTCAATACAAAGACTCTTTCAGGCTGCAAACTATTCAGCTAGCTGATATGTAGATATTTAGCTGGAAAGAGCATGATTCTCTGGAGATGAAAACCTCCTCAGTTTGTGTCCTGACTGGTTCAGTCAATTCCTTTTCATACTATCTAGAATAGCACCAATGACGACAGTGTCTGAGGGGATGTGATACAAATCCCTTTGAAGACAAAAGAAATATCACCAGGGACTGCTCCAGGCTTCTCTTCTTCTTTCAGTTTGTTGCTTTTCAGTCTGCTGGTATAAAAAATGGCTGACCTCATTTAGAAAGACCTGTGCTTCTTCCCTTTCAGTGATGCAGAGCTGGTATTTGAGGAGTTTGCTCGTCAACAGCTAAAAGATGCGGGTGATGAAGAAGAAAACAAGAATGTTTCCTCAACTGATGAGTGATGAAAAGAATGAGCTGATGGAGAAGCTATGTAGCCTGGCACCAATTTGTAATTTAAGACCTAGGTTTGTAGTAAACTGTGTTCTCGGTGCATGTGCTGTCAGGGATCAGTAGACATAAAATCATAAATTTCTCTTACTTATTAAAAGTTTCCACTTCATAAGAACATAGCAAACTCCATACCTGCTGCTTACTCTGCCTACCAGAGGAGTTCAGGAAGGCTGCAACATCTGCTTCAGAGCTACCTGTTCAGGTGGTTGGTTATTTTTACCATTGATGAGAGCTTAAATGAGGGCTTGTGCAGCCTGCCTGTGCTCAGCTGGGCTCTCTGTGTCTTTTCTCTGCATCTTTTCCACTAGTGAACTGAGTCCTAGTTTGAATGGCTGGCTTGCTGCCTTTGACTTAAAGTTCCTCAGTGGGCTATATGAAATTGGGTTTGTTTCCTTTTGTTTGCTTTTGCATTTCTGCTTTATCCAACTCACCTAGTTAGTATTTCCAGTGCTTGCACTGACCCTGTGTATGGCTTACACCATTAAATGTCTTGCAAGTCATCTTTCACAGTAGTTGTATTGCTGAGATGTTACATTAGCTTTCTAGCACTATACTCAACAGCCACTTACTAAGGAACAGAAAAATGTGCTCTGTACATGAATTCCTTAACCTAGTTCCCTATATGCAGTGCTAACCAGAGAACTGCTAGTCCAAGTTAATCTCATCTAATCGAGTTTTCTTCATGTGGCAGTGCTTCAAAAGAGCGTGCGATGAAATTAAGGAGGCAAACTGCACTTAGAAACCCACATTGCTCTGCCTGAGATCAGCTTATACTGTAAGAAATGAGAACATAGTCTGCAAACATTGATCTCCCTTGTTGATCTGAATGTTCTCATTATCCATGCAAATGCACGAGGTCCTTTTCTGAGTCTCACGCAGGCTCTGGCCGAAAAGTCTCATCAGCTAGTTACACTTTGCTTGTAAAAGGGCTGCTGTTATCCTTTTCCCATTTTTGCTCTATTTTTCACTGTCTCTGGATTAAAATTCTCCTAGAAAGCCTGAAGGCTGGGCCTACATTTATTATTATAAACGTATGTTTCTCAACCTACACAACAAAAAATGACTTCAAGAGCTTTCCCCTTCGATCCTAACTAACAACAGCGGGTGCTTCGTAGAGGAAAAAACACGCTTTAGAGATGCTCAGGTGGGCACAGGACGCTGCTGTAAACTGCAGTAAGCCAGCTGCTATTGAATCGGCAACGTTGGAGCTACTTTGCTGAACGATGCTCTGCAAACGGGGCTTGTTTAAGATGCTGAAAGCAGTCAGGTGAGGGCAGCTGCCCCCACAGCTCCGCCTGGCAGCGTCTGTCACAGCTGCCTCGCCTGGGCTGAGAGCACAGGAGGCAATCTGCTTCGTGCCCAGCCCCGTGCCTCTGCTGCTGAAGCCGTTCTCAAGCTTTGGTTGTGAGGGGAGGGTTAGAGTAAGCGGAAGGCCTTTCTAACCAACGCTCCGCTATTCGTATGATTAATTTTGCGCTGCGGAGCACCCGCTCTTCCCGCGCTCTCTCACGACTCCACCACAGGGAGAGGCGGCGGGAGCCCGGCTGGGGGCGCCCAGCAGATCCGAGCGGGCGGCGCCTCCTCAGCGCTTTCCATCGTCTCCGCCAGGGGGCGCTGCAGGAGGAGGGAGGCGGGCGGCGGGGGGGTGGGCTCCGGCCGCGCCGCCCCGCACGGTGCAGCATGGCGGCGGCGGGTGCCCTGCAGCCCCAGGCCGGGGCGGTCGCCGCCGCCGCCAGCGCCGCGGCGGACGAGTCGTCGGACAGCGAGCCGGAGCAGGAGCCGGGCTCGCCGCAGAAACTCATCCGCAAAGTCTCCACGTCCGGGCAGATCCGCCAGAAGGTGCGTGAGGCGGGCGGGGGCCGCGGGCAGGGCCTCGGGCTCCTGCAGCGCTGTGGCCGGCGCTGCCTCCGCGTCTCCTCAGCGCCGCCGCCTCCCCCTCCCTCACTCGCGGTCCTCCCCCCTCCCTCAGCCGCGTGCCCCCGGCCCGCCCCTCGCGGACCCGCCGAGCGCCCCGCGCCGCCCCCGAGGACCCGGACGCCGCCTCGGCCGCCCGTCACGGCTCTGAGGAGGACCTCCGCAGCCGCCCCTCCCGCCTCTGCCCGCGGCCTCCCCAGCCGTCCGTGCAGCCGCGCTCCGAGCGTTCCTGCGGGAGCCCCTTACGACCCCCCGGCTGCCCCCCGTTGGCCCAGCACGGAGCCCACACGCCTTCCTCCGTTACTCTTTCTGCCCCTCTGGCTTGCTGCGAGTTGTCCCATAGCCACAGCTGCGTGCTCTGGAAGGTGCAGCCCCTAGCGCTGTCCCCTGCGCTCGTTGCGTGCCTCCCTCTGCGTTTCTCATCTTTGTCTTTTCCCGTCTTGTGCTCCGCTCTCCTTCCTTTCTGTCGCCTTGTAGAGATGCTGCTTCACCTCCTGGCTGGACAAGCGCTGGTCTCATGGCAGGTTTGCCTCACTTGCAGCTTTTTCTGCCTGCCTTCACCTCCCTGGTCAGGGAGCAGTCTTTCTGCTCTCCTTAGCCCTGTAAGGCTTTATCCTTCTGCAGCCCGTTCTGGAACAATTCTGCCCTTTTTAGGGGCACTGTCAGTATTTTGCTCTCTGGTAGGAGCAGTAGTTGTAGTTTCTCTGCATTGTTAGCATAAAAGAAGATGTGAAGATTTCCTCCAGTCTTAGGCTGGGAACCACCCACAGGGAGTTGCCCTGGTCTGAACTATTTTTACTGTAGCTGCATGATTTTTCTTTGTAGCTGTTGAATCCCAGTGTAACCCTTGGATTTCATGGGATGCATTTCTGTTTACAAACACCAGGTTAGTTACTTTCTGCTCTGGAGCTGGAGCTGTGTGGGTGCAAGAGGCTGCTTGGTGCTCCTGATGTTTATCTTGCATCTGTAGCAAAGGAGAGTGAATATCTCTGTGTGATGCAGCGTCTGAGGTATATTCATAAGGACTTTTTCCTGCTGGCTGGTCTGCTCTAATTTAAAACACATATTGGCATTTATACCACTTGGGGCAGGTGTCTCACGCCAGCAGGGAGGAAGGATGCCCATCTGCCTTGTGCCCCTTACTGACCAATGTGGTGTCTGTGGCTTTCTCAGAGCAGGAACTCGTGCTTCTGGCAGGCTGTTAAAGATGCTGAGGCGAAAGGTGCACTGAATTTTACTTTTGTTTGAATAAAGCAGAGCACATCCCCATCTTCTTACTTAATCATTGCCCTGTTTTACGTCACTTCCTGCGTCAGCATGGCTGGAAAGAGCCTAAATCAGCCACTTGAACTACGTGAACGTAAACACGCTAAGAACAAGGATTATAAACAGATATTGTCTACAGCTGTTAAACCTCCCTCGTGTTAATCTGCAGACCTTCCACTAAACAGTGTCACATTTGCTAAGTAAGCCCAGGTATTATGATACCAGGGATGGATTTATTCTGATGCTTGTTGATGGCTTTTTATGTCATCATCGCCTTTTCTGTGCTCTGCTGCACGTGGAGCTTTTCCTTGCCCCGAGGGCAGGGAGCAAAGACAACTTCTTGGGTACTCATTGCTCTGATGAGACCTTGAGGACGTCTCTTCTTCTTTAATGGCGGACCTCATTTTTAATTTGTCCACTGACTGCTGTGAGCTGCAGGAGCTGTTGGACAGGTCTGTCAGTGACAGCCAGAGCTGTGGGCAGGCTTTTACTGTGCCCTGAGGGTGTGAGTTGCATCTAACCAAATCTGCTGCAGTTAGCTGAAGACCATGTTTGTGCACACAGTTAAAATCACAATAAAAGTTTACTGTTATCAGAACTCAGGTGTGAAACCTGCTGCAGCCATGAGTTCCTCTGAGTTTACTTGTCAGGGTTGGTTGCAAGCAGTCTGATCATGCTTCATTGGTCCCATCCTCTGCTTTCTCAAGAAGAACTGTACAATACAGCTGCTTGCTGACAGGATCACAGCACTTTGCTGAACTTGCTTCAGAGCCCAGGTGTGTTCTTCTGAAATATGTTGGTGCAGCAGTACAGCAAACTGTGTGGGTGTAGAGGTGCAGTGAGTGCTGAGCAGAGGCTGGGGCAGCTCCTGGCTGATGTCCGGGTGCTGAGTGGTCCAGCCCTTGTGAAGTGTGGAGCAGGAGTAGGGCGAGCAGGAAGCTCAGTGTTCAAAGTCAGGTGTAGTGCTTAATGCACTGCTTTATTTTTTAGCTAGAAAGAATTTTAGAGGAAGAGCAGAAGATAGGAAGAGAAGTGCATTATCAGCCTCGTAGTGATTATTCTGGAGACGGAAAAGAACGCTGGTATGATAAAGTGTAGCTCACAGGGGGACTGCCATTGCGCTGGCTGCCAAAGAAGCAGGCAGCACAGAGTGCTTCATCAGCCATTTTGGGACCTGTCAGACTTGTACCAGCATTGTGGTGTTCCAGCCCCTCTCGGCTCCAGGCATGCCCCGCTGGAGCTGGAGGAACTGCTGGGCAGCTGAGAGGCCTTCTGTGGTGGGAGGAGGCAAAATAAAACAGGGAAGAGTGCTACTTGTGGCATCAGGAGCCCCAAATTCTTGCTTGCAAGCAGTGCTGGGGACTCAGCCAGCCCAGGGATTGCGTGGTCTTGGTGGTGAGCTAGCAAGGAGATGGAGCACCACGAGCAGCAGCAGCCCTGCGAGGTGTGGCTGTGAATGGAGAGTGCTGTGCTCTGCAGGTCCGGCAGCACCGTGCCCTTCCTCCTTTAGCACTTGATCTTTCATTGTGAGCATCATATTATGAAGCTCAGCAAGCAGAGGAAGGATGGATAGGTCTTTTTTCTCATTCATCGGCTTGGTGTGATTTGGGCATGCGAGGTTTCGGTTTGTTTACCAGACAGGATTTCAGTGGCGTCCTTGGGTGGCATCAGGAGGAGCTTTTGTTTAGACTATCAGTCTGACTTCTGTTTGCTTTTATGAGCAACTTTTCCTTTTTTTTTTTTTTTTAGGCTTTATAACCATTTATCAGTACCTTGATCTTTTTAAGGCAAGTTTGCAGTATATATTTCAACAGAGTTGCAAACAGCGAGCAGCTCTCCAGGCTCGCTTGGCTCTTGGAAGCTGTCGCGCTCCGGTAGCGGAGATGTCAGGTTCATTTACACTGAAAAGCAGGATAAATGTGCTCACTGTGCCTGCTCTGCTGGGGCTCCAATCTCTGTGCCACACTGGCTGTTGTGTGGATGGATCTATGTGCCGGTGCTCTCTGCTGAGCAGCTCTGATGTGTGTGGGCTACAGAATGCAATGGGGGGGGCAGAGTGTTTCCCCACCTTGGTGTGCAGGCTGAGCTGTGCTCTCAGACACAGCAGGCATGTGAGCACCTGAAGGAAACTCACTTTTTTCTCCTTGAATGAATGGTCTCATGGATAGGAACGTCCTCTTCCTAGGTGAAGAAGTGTTTTTATTTAAAACATAAATAAAAGGGCAAATATTTAAAGATTTGCTCAGATGAAATGAGTGGGGAAACAGAGCCATTTGCTGGTTCTACACAAGCACTGAAATCAGTATTATGATAAGAAATGATGCGTTTCACTAGAGTGACAATGTGAAAGAGATGAGCCACAGATGAGGAGGGCATTTTTAGGGATTTATGGCTTAATTCAACTTCTGTCCGTGGCACAGGTGCGAGGGTACGGATGTCCTCAGGCTAACACCACCAGCAGGCCTCTTCTCCACTGGGTGCTGAGAAGGGTGGGATTTGAGGTGATGGTACACTGCTGTAAGAATGCCTGTGCCCCTTCATCTGTGCTATGCTTTGCATGCTCTTTGGGCTCCACTGCTTGGGAAACCTCCCAGCACCACACTGCCATTGCTGCACTGTCAGTTTGCTTCGCTGCTGGAGATTTTTGGATGCCATGTGAAAGCAACAGCTGTTACTTCCTTTCTAAAAACAAAACAAAGCACAAAACCACACGCGCTTGTAGCTTTTCTCCTTCTAACTATAGCTCAGGTTCCAGGAACTAAAGGGCTCACATAAAACTCTTGCGTGTTTTGAGAACATAGATTTACCAATGAGGCTGCATTGCACAAACCGTGCTGTGAGACTGGTAGCTGTTCCTTCAAACAAAATTAGAGACAAAATAAGTATTTTTTATTGCAAGGATTTTGACTTTCATAGAATCACAAAATGGCTTGGGTTGAAAAGGGCAACAATGCTCATCCAGTTCCAACCCCCTGCTATGTGCAGGGTTACCAAACAGCAGCCCAGGCTGCCCAGAGCCACATCCAGCCTGGCCTTGAATGCCTGCAGGGATGGGGCATCCACAGCCTCCTTGGGCAACCTGTTCCAGTGCCTCACCACCCTCTGGGTGAAAAACTTCTTCCTAATACCCAACCTAAACCTCTCCTGTCTCAGTTTAAAACCATTCCCCTTTGTCCCTATGTGGTTCTGCTTGTGCTAAGAATGTGTGCAGCTGTCCCCTGATGGAGGAGGTGGCCCTGCAGGCTCAGTGTGAGCGACTGCACCCACGTGCTGTGGCCGTGCTGCCCGCCTGCAGCAGCAGTGCATGCAGGGGGACCTGCCTGGCTGTGCTGGTGATCAGCTAATGTGCCAACAGGCCTTTTGGTTTGGGGGGAAATCTTCTCTTTTCGTCACGCTTGGACGAGCTTTACATCTGCTAACTATTTTCATGTTGTGGTTTGCTTTTTTTTTTTTTTTTTTTAATAAATAAAAAGGAAACACCATCTTGACTGCATAATGTTTGCATCAGACACGTATTTGAGTCTCGTGAGTTCCAATCAGTTCAGCCATGTCACGTTCTGATGGGGAGTGGTGACACCATCTCCATTTCCCCCACCCAGAGTGGGTGCATGCACCTTATGGGAAAGGCAGTGGGGTGGCACACTACTGGTCCTGGAGAG